GTGGGTTTGACTTTCTGGTTTATATCTACATACATGAAGGAGAATGGAAGCTATAAAGTTTCACTATATCTTAATAATGTCTATGCTTTTGAATCATGTTAATGTGTGAATCATTGGCAATTATCCATACATTTTCTTAAAGGAAAATGCTGCATATAAATTTCAATTTTCCATACTTTAGCAGGAATAATTTTTTTAAGTTAAATGTATATGATAGATATATTAGAACTTACACATTTTTATACATTACTAAAAACTGTGTTATAAAATCTTTATAATTGGGTATTATCAATTTAAATAGTCTTTACACCATTTGTACACTTGCTATCCAGAGTAAAGTTAACATCTAAGATAGCAAGAAATAATTGTGGCAATTATGTGATTACATTTGACAACTTGAATTTACATTTTCAGAGTTTTTTCACAAACATCTATAATATCCTTAAACATGACTCAAAATTGAATGCACCAGTGTTCAGTACCTTCTCAAACTAGTTATAATGACCACAGCATCATTTGGTTTTTCAACTTAAATGTATGCTAAATATTTTCTGTTCTAAAGCATTTACAAAACTTGTTTCAATTTGCATATATAGCTGCTAATATATAACAATCAGACTTCCTCCGTCATTTATTTACACAGATCTCATGACACCATTTAAATAAATAAACAACTAAAAATTGTAGGAAAGGTTCTTAAACTTTTATGTAAGCCACTCATGCAAAAGTTATTAAATTTAATCACTATGCAATAGTCTCTTGTGCAGTGGAGGATTTTAGTATAAGGATTATATCAACAGACATAAACATGCCATCCACCTTCAGTACTATGCTCCTTAGTAGTATTCCGATATGATATCTTACATCCACTCATAAGATAGCTTTTCTCAACTAGCTCTGCCCTCTGTTGGCACAAATTTTCAATGCACATCACTAGCCTTCCACCTTCTGCTTCTGCATATCCACATGTAAATGATCATGTAGTTGCTCTCCACCAGTAGGAGCACGACCACTCCTATAATAACCAGTGCTCTCTTCATATCTGCACTCGTTAATCACTTCTCGATTTGCAGTAGTACTGTACAGAAGCTCTGGTTTTTGCTTGCAGATTTGTTGACGTTTTCCGTTCTACTACTAACTTAGTTTTCTTTCTTTATTTAAATTGTTATGTTTGGTATTGCAAGAGGTTGCTTTTTTTTCAAACTTTTCTTACTTTTTTCATGGGCCTTTTGCTAGTTTATTGTGGATCCTACTGTGTGGCAAGTGGTGCCTGACCAGGTGTACTTTTTTTGTTTTTTGAAAATCTGCATTGTCCATCCTGCGACCATGCTAGATGTCAATTATGTTGTAGCCCCTCCTACCATGGACCTGATGCTGCCTGGTGTTGGTTGTGTGTCTCTATTTTATTGTTATCTATGGCTAAACTATTGTGTCGCAGGTTTGGGTTATTCACACTGTAGAGATGGGGTGTTCCATAGTAGTTCTCTCAAGTGGTTTTTTGCTTCATAAATATGTTTGTCCTGGATCATTCACTCAAGTACTAACATGAGTAAAGCAGACAGAGATTGCTACTTATCTCTGATGCTCCGTGGCATTGAGACTCTTCCTACCACAGGCCTGATATACAATTCCAGATACCACCAGGTTTTGGTTGATCAACTCAGTCGATGTAGTAGATTTGTTTTTCAAAATAAGGTATTGCAGTCTCCCGTTCTACTATCTCCAGTGATGCAGAGTTCTCCAGATTGTTTTCCCCCCTTTCTTCTAGTGGAGCATGAAAGTTCGTACCAGTTCCTAAATGCTGGGGTAGTGAACCATGGAGGCCTGTCCTCCTGAGTGATGAATCATACCACTCTGTTGAGAATAGTGCAGTGGCATTTTGAAGGTGTTGCTGGAGTATTGTACTTCCTACTGTGGACCTGATATACAATTCCAGATGTTGCCAGGTTTTCGTTGTAGCACTAGACTTAATTGACCAAAACTAGGTAATTATTCAGTATTTCAGAGATCCTAAATTTCTGAAAGTTAGGCACAGAGCTGAATTAATGCACACTGTTATATGTGTCAAGTAGCACAATTCTGATTGTTAGAAAAAAATTGAAATAGATTAAATGAACATTACACCAAGAAACATAAATAAACTGTTATAACCCATCATTAATGGACTTGATTGAAGAGCTCTTACAATAAATCTTAGTATTTTATGATTTATTCACTCATATTTATTATGTAATGTGGTTAACTCTCTGAATAGGGATTGGATCACTCATGGTTTTTGCAAAATATTTTTAGTAACTGCTTCTTAATGGTAAACTAATAAAATCTGTTATTTTTTGCTTTAACATAGCTGAGTTTTGCAGTTAGAGTTTACAGTCTTTCAAATGAAATCTATTGTTATGTAAAAAAATACTTTTACGCATTTGTCATAATCATAACTATAGGACTTTATTACTGTATGAGTCTGACTTCATATTTTGTTATGCTTAACTGCTCAAAACAGTTAGAGAACAATGGAAATGTGTAATATTACAGCTATGACAAGGCGAAACAGCTATTATAAAATAATTTCATCACCTCCTTAAATAATATTTTTTATGCAAATTAGACATTACTGATAAGTCGTGATCTGAAGTGCAAATGATTGGTCAATAGTCTACTATTATGATTTAATATTTAGTAGTGGTGGCTTTTATCTTTACAAAGAGTTATCCTCCTTGACCAATTCTCTTTAGTGTCTGGAGTCTCTTGATGGAATGTAATGAGATTCCCAAGATCTCATGTTTCTCAACCTTTTCAATACCAAGGATAGACTCTCAGTAGACTGTTGCAGATCAGGTACAATGAAAAATCATTATGGTTTACATATGAATATTCAGTTTTTGTTTTTTTGTTTCATGAAGTCCCATGGACAGCAAGGTGATTGTGATCAGTGGTTGAGAAACACTGATCTACGAGATTGAAATTGGTGAGTATGAAAGCTATTTCAAGAAATGCATCAAAAAGTTTTGAATGGTGAAGGATTGTGTGTGTGTGTGTGTGTTACCATCCATTAGAATGACATCAAGCCCAGTTGCATCAGCATGTGGTTGCACAAAGTATTATACAATGTGGTTGTTATAGTCTTTTGTCATTTATAATTCCATTCCACAGGATATAAAAATATGTAACTCAACCACTCACACCACACTTCCACTATCACCGTATGCATTGTATTTAGATTTAGTCTACAAAAAGCAGTAATTTGCTTGTGTCACGAATGATGATATTTCTGTTCAAAACATTGGTCAGAAAGACTAACAACTCTCTGAGACACTTGGCAATTTACATCAGCCTGATGTTATTAGCTGGCTTCCATTTAATCAAAGACTCCTCAGAAGTCTTCTCTGACCATAGTTCAAGAACAGGGATCGGATGATTAAAATTATGTTTTTATTTTCTAATAGTAGTCTGCCTTATTAGTGTCCTATCTATGATATTCAAATTTCCATTTATCTTTTCATTTTTTCCCCCTTATTATAGTTATATTCAATTTAAATTTTTTTTTTTTTAGTTTTCAGGATTTCACATCCTTTTATTGCTTTTTAAAAATATCTGTTACTAAAAATTAGACATTAAAATATTCCTGTCTGACAAAATATTTCTGGCTAAGGAGTAAATAGTGGATTTACAGTATTTAATTGCTGTCATTTTAACATAAAATGAAAGTATAATTTGTACTAGTTTATTTTAATTATGATGATAGTTAGGTACTGCAAGTATTTTATTAAAGTATATGTAAAAGACATTTCAGATGTGACTCGTATAAACTTGGCATTAAGTCATAGTAAATTGTTTATAATGTTGAATTGATTCTGATTATGGTAGCTTTATGATAGCTCTTTTGCCAAGTAATGCTTCTAAAGAAATGAAAGGGACTAAGTCAATATAGTATTTTTGGTAATTTGTTTTAATTATCAGGCTATGTGTGTATATTCAAAAGTTAAGAGGTATTTTTCACTATTATTTTATATAGATAGATGAATATCATGAATTTTTTAGTTTTTGACTTTGGGGAAGATTTCCTACCTTTGTTCTTGGTGTAGGTTAGGTTTTTAATATTTCAGTTTAGACATTATGTTCAGTAAAGTGTTTGTTATGATGTAAGGATAAGATATGATATCTCTGGCTTTCCTGATTGTCAGGAATGTGGTTGAATAATATAAAATTCAAGTGAGACTAGAGAAGGAGAAAAGCATCAAATATATACGAGTAGATTTATTAGTTAGTTCATTGGTTCTAACACTTTAGAAGCTGGCATACTCTTTTTCAAATTTAGTATATATTTGCACACCTTATGATTCTGGTAATGAAAATAAATATGTACATATTTTTATATCATATTAATTACTATTTTTAACTGACATTACGAAGTTCTTTTTTCTTTCCCATCCTTTTTATTTAATTGTTTTTGTTTCCCCTTTCTTTTCATGTACCCCTTCAATGATCAACTGACTAGCTCACTGATTAACTAACTCAGTGTTTCTCAAACTTTGTTAAGTGTACTTCTGGGGGTATGTGGTGGTTAATTAGTCAGTTACAATGTTATTGGTCAGTTTCTGAGTGTGTTAGTTAGCCAATTTTGGAGTTGTGTTATAAATAGGAGAAGAAATTTTATATGTAAGTGACAGTAAAATTTTATTTGCGAGTTAGACCTGTCAGAGAACATAGCCTGCATAACGTATCATAAAATAAATGGATTTGGACTTTACATTATTTTTACAGAATAATCTAGAAGAATCTGTCCATGATAGGACTCATTACATTATTATTTTAGTAAAGTTTTTTGAAAGTAGTTACATGAATGGGATGAATAAATCATACTGGGTCAAGCAACATACTGTAACCTTGCTTAAAACTTCATTGTGTTATAAAGTATCTAGTTTTAACTTTTCATTATCCTTTTATTACCTGTTTGTTTGACATCTGGTTATTAAGAATTTTTTGGTAATTTATTTTTACAGATACTACTGATCAAAGAAGTACTTCAGTATTAGCCACTCTTGCAGCCCTTGCTGAAGCAACAGCTCCCAGTGCAAGTGAGCTGAAACTTTGCTTGAATACTTGATCAAATATTGTAGTACAATGATTACCGTAGACAAATACTTAATCTTTTTTTTCCTGTAATTTTCTCAAAATGTGATATAGATTGAAAAATGTAATCAGCTAGGAAACCATTTCTATTGAATACTTATGATATTAAGCAGAAAACAAAAAAAATATATGTTATTTATCTTTGGTATATTTTCACATATTTTAGAACTTTATGGAAATAAATTTTGGCTACCAGAATTTAAGTTTTGTTGATTTTTGTTCAGTGTTGTTAAAATATGGTAATGAACAGCATGGAAAGTAAAATAAGTTTGTAATATAATATTGTATTTAGTTGTTTAAGTTTCAAGTGGTATTTATTTTGTGTAGCTGTGTCTACTACAGAAGCTCTTCAGTGGTTAGAAACTCATGGAATTACTCTACTGCCTACAGACACGTCGACTATTGTGGCTTCAGCATTAGAAGGGGGTCAGACAATAACCCTTACTGGTACTATTTATTCTTCTTGTTCTACATTTGGGTCTGTTAAATAGTAACAGTTAAATATTTAATTATTTAGTGAACAAACAAGTTTACTGTAACTAGCATATTTGAATATAAAGAGAGGATAAAATAGTTAAACTTAATAGACAGAATATGTAATAGTTACAGATGTAACATTCTTACTATATTTTTAGACATGCTATGTAGTATAGGTATTACCCAACTTTCAATTTATCTGTGTAAAGTACAGACTGAAAGAAAGTTGATAGAAAAAAATAAGGTGTAATAAGTTGAAACTTTAATGACTAATGTCATTAAAAGATATTACAGGGTTTGAATGGTGTAAATTATGAAAAGATCCTTAAAGGTGTTAAAGATGTAGGAATAGTGTTCTAAACAGTTTGTAATTTGCTAATTTCTACCCTCCAAGAAATTGAAATCATCAACTTTTATCTCTAATAACAGTGGTAACTAAATCCTTTTTAAAACATTCTGAGAGTAGCACATAGAACATAATTGTTATATTTGATAATCATGATTCAAGTTTAAATTCTTAAAGTAAAATGAGAAGTCCAATGATCTGCTCTGATATTAATCCTAAGTTATTTCAAAAGAATTATTACACGAGTACTGCTTAACTCTTTCTAGCCCAGTGTCTTGTGACCAGACATAGCTTAGTACTTAGTATGTTGGACTATGAATCCAAGGTTCCATAGTCTGTGTCCCAGTGCTCCAAATTCATCTCCACACTTTAGGGGCCATGGGTGTATTATAAGAGTAATTGTCAAACAGGAGTTGATGGTGGGTGCTGTTGACTAGTTGCCTTCCCTCTAATCTGTCAGTTCAAAATTATGGATGACTAGTTCAGGTGACCCTTGTGTAACTTTACAATAATTTCTGAAACAAACTCAATCTTTTTTTTTTAAAGAGATTAAATGACATCAATACTTTTTACAAATTTCGTCTGATCTCAACCCTCAAAGTAAGAAGGAAAAAAAAAAAGTCCAAACTGCTAACCCTGATTTTGAATTTTGCTCTCCCCAGTTGTAGATTTTTTTGGTGTAGCAATATTTGAACTTCTTACCTGCATAGATAAAAAAATTTCAACATAGAAGTCATAACTGTGATATTTTGTTTGACATTTTTGTTGCTCATTTATAAATCAGATAGTGTGAAAACACTAATTTTCAAAGCTTTTAATGTTAACAAAATGATAAATATGTTGTCTGAAAGTGTGGGTTATTTTATTTTTCACACTATTTGATATAGGGCTCCCTTTTCTCTTTAAATGCATTGTAGTTACAGCATTGTAGCTCCTTCTGCTAATGTCTTGTTTCTTTACTTTGATGGAGTAATCACTTTTCACTTTACAAAACCTCATTTTTGGTTATTTGAAACTATGAAGATTTGTAGTACTGTTAACTCTGGTAGGAGCTTAAGTATCAGCTGAGGGTCATTTTTAACAGCTGTTCATAATTTCTAAGAAATATGCAGTGGTAACTTTTGTAGATAAGATATAATGTAATAAATACTATTCTATTTTATTAGTTTTATTGATATATATATATATTTGCAGAATTTCTTTCAACAAAATGGGTTAGCAAATGGTAAATTATAAAAGTGACAGTCACATTCCACTATTCACTCAGACACAAGTAACCCAAAAGTTGACAGTTGTTGCTGTTGACTAGCTGTCTTTCCTCCAGTTTGTCTATTAAAAAGTGCTCATTGATGTTTTAAGTGTCTATGTTTCTGATGTGGTGATGTATGAATTATGAGGTTTTATTAACTCTCTCACTATGGGTTCGGTACCAGGGACTGACCTCATAACTATTTTTTGCTTGTTATAGTTTTCATACCATAATTTCTAATATAGTATGTATACTTTCACAAAATTTGGCAGACTTTTAGTAAACATTACATGTCATTTGTGCACAAAAACTCAGTTTTTAATGAAGTATTTTTTACTAAAGATTTGTCCATGAATATATTGAATCTTTTTTTTACTAGTCTGAGTGCAAAGTGATGTTTAAATTAAGATTAGAAATATTTTTCTTTATCTCAAAAATTTCAAATTGCATGTATGTAACCTCTAAAACCTCCTAAATAACTATATAACTTTTTCAATAAAAACTTTATATCTTATCTGTTATTAGCTCTACCCAAAAAATATATTTCATTCTTCAGCCAGTAGACATACCATGAAAGTATAATGAAAAGTTGTAAAGTCAAAAATAAAATGAGTAACTGTGCCCTTTTTTCTTTCACAAAGTTTCAAAGTACTTCTCTTGAGAGTTTGAACTACTAGACATTTCACATTTATTTTCTGTGTTTATTTTACTATCAATTACTGAAATAGAAATCTTCTGAAAATAAAACAACAAATCATCACATGCGTCATTAGACTATGTAACACTGTAATACAATACTCTTGAGAGCAACAAAGCATGCACGAAGAAATAAGCAGACTTGACCCCTGCTCTGAGGACACAATGTGGAATTTATCGGCTTATGTATCCTACAGTGCTTACAATGAGAATATCCCAGAGTCACAAAATTACACATTTAATCAGTGAAAACGTTTATTATATGGCTTGGAGCCAATCCAATAAACATCTCAAGTTTTTGAGTATTGGTCATCCTTGTGGGATGTTTGGAAATTAGCGGTATATCGTGCAGGCATACAAAGATATTATTTATGCGCATGATTGAAAAATCCTATTTCCCTTTCAGAAAATTTATTCGTCAACCAATAAATACTATTTATTCACAAATGCTTAAATTTTAGTTATTTTTATTAAACATAGGAGAGTAAAGAAAAAAATATTTTGAAAAAAAATTTGAATACTTACAGTGTTATGAAATTTTGTGCTCATGTACGTACTAAGCCTTGTTTATTCTTCTGAGTGGAGAGTGAAGAGATATTAATTTTGTAGGCTTCAAATATGAATTTTAGAAAACAAATATTAACTTATTATATTTGTGCACACAAAATCCCTGTAATTTTTCTGGGTTTCTAAACAACCTATATATGACTTTAAAAAAATATCATATCTATTCAGAGCAACAACTTAGTCATCACACTTATACAGTTTTGGTGAAATTGTGACTTTCTTCTTCAAGCTGTTTACAAACGACTGTCAGATTTATGTACACAGGCAACTCCTCTTTCTCTTAGTAGTAAACACTTAGTCAAAAGAAGTAGATGGGACTAGACAAGAGGTTTGAAAATAATGGAGTAGTGGGAAGAACCACGTTATTATTTAGCTAAATATATTGACATCTCAGCAAATCAAAGAGGTGGGAAGTTTTTATTTTATATTCTAGCTTGTCTATATCACAAATTCAGGTTTCTAATTTGTTAACTACTGTACATTGTATGGTAGGCATAATATAATATAAACTGAGCAATAAGACAGTAGGAGGTGCTATGTAACAAACAAAAATTGATATTTGGCATTTTTCTTTATATTTCATTTTAAATTAAGAAAGTAAAACATTGATAATATTAAAATTTGGACTATAACTATGTTTCGATCTCAATTCTATTGACATAAGTAATAGAAAAGTTATTTTAAAAATTTTAAAAATAAAAGGTCATGACGTGTCAGAGTTTTATGTATATGAGTGAGCTGAGGATTCTTCTACAGTAGATATCTTTGACTTGTTGGCGATAAATTCAAACAATAAACAGACAGCACACAATCCACTTGTTTTAAAGTAATATGTTCACAACAATCCAAAATATGTACAGAAATTCTTTATACTATGGATATCTACCATAGTTGTATCTCAAACTCTAAATAGTTCTCTTTTTCTTGTCAAAAGTCCACTTAAGCTGAATCAATTACTTTAGAATCCATTTGAAAGACGAATTATTTTTCTTTGTTTTTATCACAATAGTATCAGTGAATAATTCAGTTACGCTACCTCGTGGATTCCCATAGTTGTATCTCGAACTTCAAATGATTGTTTCTTTTTTGTCAAAGTCCACACATGTGGGTTCAGTTACTTTATAAACACCCTGTGACAAGACAAAGTATTCTCCTTATCTCTATTAAACTGTGAAACTCACTTTAAAATATCGCCTGTTATGGCTAATCATTCACATGCCGGCTGACTTCATATTTTCTAACTTTTCTCTATTTTTACTTTATTTCACTTGACTTTGCTTCTTTTGCTCTTCTTCTTGACTTGTGCTCTCAAGCCATTTATATATATATATTCAGTGAAGCCTAAAAAAATAACAAAGATTCGAGTAATATGACATCAACAATAATGCTTCAACAACAATGAATTGCAAACACGTGACTGTTACCAACTTACGTAACCAAACTTGTCATAACTATCGCCTTTAAAATAATTAACTTTTAGCTCTCTTGTTATGAAAAACTCAACAATCATGAAATATTAACTCCCAAAATAAATAATAATGCCAACACTAAACAGTTTTGTATATTCAACAACATGAGCTCTTTAACCTGCCCACAGTGAATGGGTTAATGTATGCACAAATATGGCAGTATGTTATCACTAAGCTGGAAAGAGTTAATTTAGTTAGTGTGTTCTTTTAAGTATGAATACACACTTAGGAATTTAGTATATATATTCTCATCAGAGCAAGATGTTGAGTACATTTTAAGCTTACCCAGTAAAGCTAAACAAGTGGATAAAGTAATATTCAAACGACTCAAAGGTTTTTGTGAGTGAAGATGAATAAATATATATATAGTACATACCTTCCTTATTTTTAATTATATGCTTAATATGTTTAGAACCATAAAGAAATACTAGAGGTATTTAATATTTGTCACACAAAAATGTACTAGAGGATAAATAAAACTTGTTGTTAATTCAACTAAGGAACAATGAACATGATGAAATTTTAAATTGACTTATTATTTTTATCAGTTAAATACAGCAAGTTGTTGGCATAATTTAACAAATATGGACATTTTGAAAACTTACAAAGTTGTTTCAGTAATTATAAATAGAAATAGTGTAGGTTATATCATTTTAAATTTGGTTAAACACTATATTAGGGCTTCAGTAACAGTCATTTGACATTTTGAATTAATCTTCTAGAAACTGAGTATTTTTACCTAATTTTCAAATTAATTTCTTAATACTCCAATTTTTAATATAAAAACGTCCATAAGTATCAAAAACAAAAAAATTAAAGTCCAGTAAAGTAATTGTAATAAAAGTAATATTATTTGATACAATAAGTCTAATTTTATTTGATTACAAGGAACCTTCACAATTCAAACATTTCATGGAGTTTAGTGTTTCACAAAAGTTAATGTAAATGAACTAACTTTTCACTGCCACATTTATAGATGCACAAATCTCCTAGTGCTAAGCTTATTTATAGGTACACAACAGAAAATGGAAAGACACATTTTAGTATTTAAATAGTTATTTGAAACTTGAAACAGGTAAACTGAGGGTAATTTGAAAGGGAATTTTTTATTTTATGGTGGTAAAACATTTGAAACTTGCATGACAGTGCTCTAGAGGGGGACATATATGTCCAAGCAGTGAAAGAAATAAACATTGTGTATTTTTACTTATGACATTGGAAAGTGTTGTTTCAATTACTTCTCTAAACTTCAAACTATTTTGTCTTCAGCCTTTAATTTTTTTTACTGAAAATTTTGGTAGGCTTTGTAGGAAATAATTTTTGTTTGTTGCAAAACTGTTTTGTATATTGAATTAAAAATATTCAATACATGATGATACTTTTCAGAAGCAGGAAAATTAGCCCTAGACAGTGTCAGGCATTCCAGAGAGCCTTCTGAAGAACAGAAAGAATTAACTACTAAATCAGCTAATTCACAGCGCACATCAACTACAATTTCTTCTGGTCAAGTAAGTATTTTAAAGAACATTTCAAAGGAAACAATAGAAAATGTATGTACAATAGTAGGATCCATACATTAAGTTTAAAAAGCTTTCAAACAGTGTTGAACTTTGTTTCATCATTACAAAATTAATATGATAAAGCACTTCACATGTTCTATTCCATAATTACACTTATTTCAGAATAGTGATTTTTTAGAAATAAATAAAATCAATTGGAGTTCCGTTATCATTAAAACAAAAAATTACTTCTCACAGAAGCTTCTTATTCCATCTACAGTAAAAAAAAACGAATGTAATATGTTTTAACATAACATTAGAAGACTGTAAGGTACCATTAATTATTCTAGGCTTCCCTGCACGTGGACTCCTGAGTAAAAATTGAAATCCACCCATTAATTTTCAGGAAATAATTCACTCTCCTCTTAAATTCTTGTAAATTTCTGGCCTCCAATACTGCTAACCACCCTTTCAGAAAAATACAGTTGTCTTGAATTGTATAGGCTTGTCTATTCCAAATTTTCAACTTGCATCATTCCTATTATGTAGTCTTTGGAATGAAACACAAAGAAATTGGAGCTCTTTATTCTGTTGATTCGTGTGATAATTTTGTAAGCTTCAATAAGATCACTTCTTACTCTTCTTTTGTCAAGAGAAGATAAATTAACAAGTCTTAACCTATCCCCATAAGACAGTCCTTCTCTTCCTCATCATCCTAGTAGCCCTTCTCTGATTCCTTTCCATAAGTCAATATCCTTTCTTAGATAGAGAAATTAAAACTACATATAATATTTACTCAAAGTGAGGCCTAAGTATAAAGAGATAATTACCTCTTTTGACTTTTGTTAAGTATATCTTCAGATAATTTTAAAATTCTGTTAACATTATTGCTAGCAACAGAGAACTGCTTTGATGGTTTATGTGACTTACCTTTACTCTGTGCCAAAATTATTTTCTTCAGTCATGCCATTGAGTAGTTAAATGTGTGACCCTTATTATGAGATCCCATATGCATTCCTTGTAATTAAAGGAATCTTGAAAACTATTTCTCCAACTGACAAATTGATCCAAGTCAATATGAAATCCCTCAGTATCATCAACATATTCAGAGCTTAGTGTTATCAGAACCTCTACTAATCTATACCAATTTACTAATTATCTAAGGACCAATATAATTATTATAAGTAAAAGTAAAGACTCAAGCACTCCTTTAATAATAACTTTTCCTAACTCAGCTACCCTAACTAGTCTTTCTCCACCCTCCACTGATGTGTCTTTCTTAGCTAATCATCTGTGTCACACCTTACCAACATAAAGTCCTCACCCATTCCATCATTCAGGTAATATGCAACAATCTTGAATAAGTTAACAGGTTTCTAAGATAAAATTTTTCCTCATTGAATTATTACTGGACATATTTTATTATATCGTTTTATATGATAACTGGTACTAAATTCTAATGTCATGTATTATTAACATAAACCAAAATTCCTATGAAGTTACTTAATTACACATCATTCCAAATGTTCTTAAAATTAAAGTAACTTGTTTCACATTAGACAGTATGTGATTAACAATATACGTAATACATTCTCATTTATTGTTTATGAATGTCCAATTTATGTCATATTTGCTTTGCAAAACAGGAAATTATAAAACATGATAGAGAAAGACAATAATATATATATATATATATATTGAAATTCACTATTAAAAACATTTTATAAAACACACAAACATTCAAACATAATTGTCTGTTCCATTATTAAGCTTGTTGGATATTTTATTTGAATATTTTATCTTATTTACAACTCATAAATGGAATTTTCATTTTGGTTTTAGATTTGAAATAGTGTCAGATCATCTAGACATTTTTTTAAATTTTGAGAATAATCTGGATGATTATATTGACTCGTAATGTTAAGAAAAAGTTAGTTGGAAACAAAATATGAAACCCTATAACCCGAGTGCTTTTGAAAGGAAGATCTTTCTTCATTGGGGCAAACTGATTATATTTAAAATAGGATTTCCCAAATCAAAGTAATAAGATTAAACTTAAATGCCATATAATTCAACCTTATTAGAAAGAAACTAAAGTTTAACTGAGTTAATTTGTTGTTCTCAGAAAAGTTCTTAACCTGCAAATTATAATATAAATATTTTTTATATACCATTTGAGCTTCAGTTGTGCTTTACTGCTTTATACATTGTAGCATATGGGATCCCGACACACTTTCGTACAAAGTATTTGTTGCAAAGTGCTTGAAAAGCTCATGAATTTTGTCTCATTTTAAATGCAAGAAATCTTTGACTTTAAATATCCAGTACTATGAATCATTTAGTTGGAATGTTAAGAAAATTTCTAACCCATTAATATTTCTTAATATCAAATTTTAATTTTTGTGTTTTCAAACATTGGGTAAAATATTACTGGTGAGTAGCAAAGCCATAGTGGAGTATATGCCTGGATAATACCTAAACAAGCAATGACAGATACTTGATCTCTAAAGGAACTGAAGCACAAGAAACTAGTTTGTTACAATAGGTTTGAAGAGGTGGAAGAAATAATCAGCAAGCTTACAGAATCACGCATTAGTATATAATTCAGTATATCATTTAGTTTTTAAAATTAAATGTATCACCCTGAATAGCTCATCCCACAAGGATGTGGCATTTCTATTTTATAACTTTCCTTACATGATAAATGTGAACAAGTAACCTTAGAAATCATTTAAAAAGAAATATTTATAATAAATTTTTTTCATTTTGCTTATTATAAATTGTCATTGATATCTTTTAATCGTAATATATGGTCAGGAAATATTAGTTTTACAACACTTACAATATATCAAAAGTTTGTTGTTGTTTTTTATTTAAATGATTTTTCCAGACATTTTGGTTCTCCACCCATCTTTTTGGCAAAGTGTCAAAGTTAATCTAATGATAATTTTTTATGCTGTTAGGTGTATACATGTATTGTAGAATTATGATGGCAGAACTGATTCTTTGTTTCTCCTATCTATATTTTCAGAACTTAATAGCTATAGTAACGGACCAATCTCAGCTGCCTACACTTATAAGCAATGCTCAAAGTACACCTATGATGGTAGTTGGTGGATCAGCAATTTCTACATCAAGTAAGTTCATAATTTGACAACAGTGACACACATTTTCAGACGTAACACAAAACATATTGAATTAGGTTTAAACTTGGGTGTGAAGTGTTCTAATATAATAAAAACTCCTTGATCTGAAGTCTTTATATATTAAACTATTTCCAAAGTTGAACACCAGTTACATACATTTTTCAAATTGTTTTAAACAAATTACATTAGTTAATCATTTAGAGGAAGTGAGTGTGGATATAAGCAAGTATTTTCCTTTATTTTAGAAGCCATTTAACTTTCCCAATATGGGTTTGGTCCCAGGGACTGACCCCATAACCATTTTGTGCTTGTTATATACACCTGGAAAAAAGTTAAGCACCCCCAAATATTTTTCAGGATTGC